CCGTCCTCAGCTGCCGCTCCGTCGCGCGCTGGCGCCCGCCCGCCTCGGGCTCCGTCGGGCTGTCCCGTTCGCCGCCCCCAGGCCGCCTGCAGCCCCTTCCCGGAAGCAGAGTTCGCCTGAAAACCGTCACGCGTCACCCCAGCTCTCGGACCGCCCTCATGTCCTTTCCCTGTGGCCCGTTTTCGGCGGAGCCGCTGTCCGAGGAGCCAGGAGGGAAGAGTCTTCCGCTCGAGAACTGGAATGCGCGGCCTGGCAGGCCCGGCCTGGGGGACCCGAGAGGCGCGGGCCGGGGACTGCACAGCCAGGCCGGCCTCAGCGCTCCAGGAGGCCGTCTCCTCCTCCAGCTGGCGTGTCCGCTGTCACGGGCTTCGGCACTGTGACGTCTTGTTTTCCTTAGTAACGTGTTTTCCATTTGGAATTCTCATCTGCCCATTCCTGGGGACAGTGCCATCAGAGCCGCCTTCGCAACCGCACAGTCTGGGCCAAGGCCCCGTTTCTATATTGGTTCTTGGTGTAGTTCCCTGACTCCAGGTCACCTGAGAAAGTCAGAATCCGCACGCGGCTGTCTTCGGGCACTTGTGGAAATACACGCAGCCTGTCCTGCTCCTCAGCTGTCTGTCTTTGCTGTGTGTCTGTCTTCTAGCAGGCTGCGTGTGAGGCAAAGACTCCTCCTGGAGGTAATCGTTGCATTTTTAAAGGTGTATTATCAGTGAGCATCAATTATAATGAGGCATTGCAGTGGGGCTTGATAATGTCGGAACCTGGGGACAGCGGCCTCTGAGCTGAGATCCTGCCAGCTGCATTTTATTAACCCAAGTCAGGGTGCTAAGCTGATTTTCAGGCTTGATTGACAGAACCCTTTCAGCATCAACCCTGAACCACTATCAGGAGGGCGAATCCCATCGCGGCATTCTGCGGCAATGGTTTTAATGCAGAAATGCATGTGATCAGGAGCATGCTGAGCTCATATCATTTCCAGAGTGAGGAGCAATGTGTTCCAGTGTCATTTACCACAACCAATTATGGTACATCCTGACAACATTTAAAACAGAATTGGATTAAGACAAATGCACTCGCAAGATTGTGGACTGAGAGGCAAAATGCCAGAATTTTCAGTGGACCTCATTTTGGCTCTTTTTCATTACTATAAAAAGCTGAAGAAGAAGAGAGAGGGAGGAAAAAACAACAACAACAACAACACTTTCAGGGCAAGAGGTAGAAAGCAAGCATAAAAAGCAGGCTAGAACTGCAATTCGATGTGACCACCCTTTTCTCCAGTTCCCTTTTCCACTGCTGCAAATCTTCTACATGCAAGAGTCAGACAGACAGTCCTTCTCTAAGTACCAGATTCACTCCCCAAAATCAGAGGGTGCATTTCTCAGTCCCACTCACCATTCTTAACCTCCACAACAGGCGCTAGTTCCAGTGAGTAAAAATCCCTGTGATGTAAAACGTCAGCCTTACAGCCAAGGTCGTGGTCAGAAGCTTCTACTCCAGCAGCAACACTGGCTGATCTATGGACCAGCAGAGAGGTGTCTTCCAGCATTTCCCATCTTAAAAGAATCAGACAGGGGGGTGGATATAGGTCAGTGGCAGAGCACATGCTTAAGGCCCTGTGTTCAATCCCCAGTATCTCCACTAAGGGGAAAAAAAAAGGATCAGACAGCCATTGCTACCTTCTGAATTAACCAGTCACACATTTCACTGAGATGGTACATGTGAAGTACCTGTCCAGGAAGTCAAATATCAAATATCTTTCCTTTTTTGTTTTTTTAAATAGCTTTACTGAGTTATTAAAATAATATGTTTTGCATGCTCATTGAAAAACACTAGAAAATATAGAGGAAAGCAATGAAAAATAAGGATGTTGTCCAGCGCTAAGCATCGTTGATATTCTGGCATCGTCCAGCATCTATTTAGAAACAAAAGTATTGTCAGAATATAACACACTGTAGTCTAACCTGCTTTTTGTCTTTCAGCAACATGTTGCAAACACTTTGCCATGTCAATAAATATGGATGTGTGTCACATATTCAAAGCTGCAGAGTATTATTGTAATTTACCGTAATTAATCCTCTTCTGGTGAACGTGTAGGCTCCCCTCCATTTGTTCCTCTTTTAAATAATATTGCAACAACACCCCTGCTGTACATCCAGGGTTCTCAAACTCAAACGTGACCCAGAATCATCTGGGGTATTCTAAATATACAGATGCATGGTTCCCGCATCTAAAGATTCTGCTTCAGTAGGAAAAGTGTAAGACTCAGGGCCCACAGCTCACCGTGCACCACAGGGGACGCTGACGCTGGTGGTCCTTGAACCACACGTCAAGAAACATACATCTTTGCAGACTTGTCTGATGCTTTCTTTGGAATTAAGTTCTACAAGTGAGCTTGTTATTTTGCAAAGGCTCTGCCGTGCAGCACTGCAGCAGTCTACCTGGTCTGTGGTCATCTTGTAGGTGAAAAAGACTGAGTCACAAAGGAAAGTATATGCCCTAAGGTAGAAAGTGTGTTCAAGGCACGAGTGAACAGAGCAGATCTGTCCAGGAGCCCTCAGAATCAGCCCCGCGGGTGTCTATGGGATTCCTAAACCTTCCTCAAGCAGCTCCTTGGCTCTTCCACTGGAGCCTGGCAATGAGCAGAGTCGAGGAAGAAGGGAGGGTCGGAGAGAAACACAAGGTGAGAGTGGGTTCAGTGTCTTGGCTGGAGAAGTTAGCTCTTGACAAGGGAAGGTGCCTGCCACTGCCATTTGCACAGGAGATTGCTGCCAACGAGGGGACACCAACTCAGACAGCTGTATCCCCATGCTCCCCTGGAATAAAGTTCACACTGGACTAGCATCCTGTATCCACCCCAGGTTTTCCAAGAGTTTGAGAGATGAGAGTAAGAAAGAATACAGGTATGGCTCCATTTCCAGGCTGAGAGATGCTTGAGGAGCACACACACGCACTCACACAAAGGCAGGTGCAGATCGCCTGGCTTACAATCTCCAAGCTCGAGAAGGAGATTTCCAAAATAAGCTTCACCTAAGAACAACTTTACACAAGGCTACAAAGTGTACAAATCGATCATGTAAGCATCCAATCTGAATCATGTAAGGAAAAAAAAGCTGTCTTCCTTTTTTTTCTTTTGCTTAATGTTATTGAAGTCTGATATACATTCAGGACAGTGTTCAAACCACAAGTTTATAAATCGGATGCATTTTTACAGAGCTAACAACACACCGGTATAACCAGCATCCAGGTCAAGAAACAGAGGAACACCTCAACGCCAGACATTCCCTGGCGCCCGTGTGCGGTCACGGTTTTACCCAAACGTAGCCACCATCCTGATTTCTAGCAGGTTTAATTGGCTTGGTCTGTTTTTGAGCTCTATATAAATGGAATCACACAGTATAAGTACTCTTTGAAAACTATTTTCGACTAGATTTTACAGATTATTAGTTTAACTCTCTGTGTCATGTGCAGCAATATCCCAATTCTGAAGCACAGATTTCCCCCCTACAAAGAAACAGAAAAGTATACACTCTGTCCGTGTCCATTTGTGCCTTTCAAATTCGATAGCTCCATCTGAGTGGAGTCCAGCTGAATCTCTGGGGCCCTCATGCCTGTCCATAGTAAGTAATAAGGATCCTAAAAAGCTACTCCCTGCCGTGCACTGAGAGGCAGTGCAGTGCAGTGGAAAAAAAGATTAGAACTGTACAGAGCTAAGCTGGAATAGAATCCTCGCCACTTACCAGCCGTACTATGTTCACAAAGTCACGTAATCTCTCTGGGGCTCAGTTACGTCTATACCTGTAAAATGGGGGAAATACCTCGTGTGTATCTCACTTGACAGGAAACGCCTCATGTGATCTTATTTAACTTTCACAAGTTAAATGTGAAGTGCTTGGCATATAAAAGTGATTCTTACATGTTTACTCGCTTTCTCCCTTCAAAGACCAGACCTTGATTATCCATTAAAGTCAGCTTGTTGTGTACACGCAACCTAAAGAAAAATTTTCTTTTTTCTTTTTAATAAATACATTTTCAATGGCAACTATTTGAACCACTAACCAGCAAGTTTAAAATCATTTGGAAACCAGGTTTGTGATCCAAGAGAATTTTAAATTGTTGACACAGTCTTTTTCAAAACCGAGAAATGTCACTGTTCATTCTTTGGAAATCCATGTGGCTTCATGTCCCTCACACTTCCCACCATGCTGGCCTGGCTGTTTATTTATTAATGATTTCCATCATGAAACCATTGTTATCTCAGCTTCTTGTGATGGCCTAAGAGCACACAAAATCATCATTTTCCAACAACAGCACAAATACCCAAACGCCTGAGCTTCCAGCAATGTTGCAGTGTTATTCAACGCCATCATGCCAATCCGTTTGCAATGGCCTTTTCATTTAGATACGAGCATGATCGTGGAACTGTCGTGTGATTTCTGCATTGTCACCAGTATACATATTAAAATCTCTGACAGATTGCTAATGAGCTGATGTTGGAATTACAGAGTAGTCTGTTATCATTTGTCCATTCACAGTTTCCTCACCAGCCCATCTGTGCTCGGAACAGAGCCACCACGGAGCACACAGGCTGGGGCAGTTTCTCCATTTACACCTTTTGCCTTCAGAAGCTTCTGGGAAAGCCCGTCCCTAATTAAAGATTTTAACAAACATATTGCCAGCTTTCTAACACTGTTATCAAACTGCTCTCTTTGTTAGAAAAGGTGCTGTTTGTCAGCAGTTTGTAGATTTAGATATTTAGTATGTACTTCCGTAGCCCGCAAAATATTTGTTTTCAGAATAGTTCAATTAGTATGTTATGCATGTATGTACCTGTGTGCACATAAATACACATGACACACACATTGTTAAAATCTCATATAATTATTCAGACTCACAAGGACAAAGAAACATGGTGTATTTTTAGGGACACACAGACTGCTCTACAGAACAAGGTGGAATTGAGAATTCTAAGGATGGAACTGTTGAAACGATCAGATTGAGATCATGGCTCAGAGAATTTGGGGCAAAGGCAAAGTACCTTCTACCTGAGATACCTGCATGTAAGGTACACTGAAAAGGCATCTGATGTCCCTGGCGGGTTACACGGCTGAGAGGACAGACGCTCCCCTGCACTGAGCGTCTGCCTATCAGAGCGTTGTTCTCAGTCACTGTGGGTGTGGCTGGGGGCTGGGCTGGGGAGGAGGCATGGAGTCACCTGGGAGTTCTGCACCTCCCCCATCACCATCAGCTTCTGACAGTCCTGTATCACACCCAGCTGAGAACCACTTGCTTTCGGGCTCTGAGGGAAGAAGAGAGATGCGGGGCTGAGCGTGCGCTGCCCCGGGGAAAGGCTCTCAGATCACTGGCCCTGGAAATGGGTCCGTTTTCACATTCCCCAGAGCGAGCAGAGAGAGCAGTGGCCCCTCTGGTAATGAGCTGTGCAAGGGTTTCCAGAATAAAGTCACCCCTTCGCGAATACTGAGGAGCCTGACAGCTTCACCACCACGGTAGGCGTAGTAGCTCCCAGAGGACCGGCACCTTGGAGATCAGGAGGCGGCTCTGAGTGCTGCTTTGGAGCCACTTCCACCAGTGACCCTGTGACACCAAAGCACTATGAGATGCGTCTCCTAGTGCGGAAGGTTTGTGGCCACTTACCACTCCGAGATTTTAATGTCAGTTTTGACTTAATCGTTGGAATTAAACAAATAAGCCGGAAGGAGATGCCACAAATTGTAAGGAAATGTTCCTGTCCAGAAAGAATGCACCACAGAGCGCTAACGCGTACGCACAAAAACCACACACCACCACGGGGCAGCCGATGCTAAGAGCCAGACAGCTGGCACAGACGCAGGGATGTTCAGAGGCTGGGAACATCACTGCCGAGAGGATGAGTTAGGACGGAGTGAGACTCAGCGCTTGAGAGGCGGGAGAAGACGCCGTGAGGTGGGAAGACAGTGGGGAAGAGAACAAGGAGTGCTCGGGGGATCCCGAATAGGCGGCTTCGACGAGAGCAGAAGAGCCTGATGGGACACTGAGAGAGCAAGGCTTTGAGGGTAAAGGGGCACTCCGCCAAGGCTAAGGCCAAAGCGAAGGGTCTGCACTTTACCTTTGTTGTGCTGTTGTTAGTTAATAGGTTTATTTTCCCCCTTCTACAAAGACTTTATTTTTAGAGCACTTTTAAGTCCACAGATTTGAGCAGCAAGTACAGAGTCCCCACACACTCCCTGTCCCCTCACCTACAGCTTCTCCCACCGTCAAGATCTCCCACTGGAACGGCACATTGGTTATAACTGATAAGCCTACCACTTTATCATGGCAACTGATAAAGCTACGTTAACACACGACTCTCACCCAAAGTCCACAGTTTACGTTAGGGTTCACTCTTGGTGTTGTACGTTCAATGGGTTTTGACAAATGTGTAATGACATGTATCCACCATTACAGCAATATACAGAGCAGTTTCACCGCCCTGAAAAGTCTTTGTGCTTCACCGATTCATCCCTTCCGCCCCTAGCTCCTTGCAATCACTAATCTTTCTATTGTCTCCAAAGTTTCA